TTGGACCAACAATTTCACACCAAAGACTTGGGTTATCTTCGCTATTTTCTTGGGATTGAAGTTGCTTGCTCTTCTCAAGGATTGTTTTTCTCCCAACGGAAGAGTGTTCTTGATCTCCTTATTGAGACTGGCCTCTTAGGTGCTCGCCCGAATGATACTCCCATGGATTCTAGTGCCAAACTTGATAGTGCAACCGGGGACTTGTTTCCTGATATTGGTCGTCATCGTTGGTTGGTTGGGAAGTTAATCTATCTCACTGTCACTCGTCCCGATATTACGTATGGAGTAGGTGTGGTTAGTCAGTTTATGCATGCTCCTCGCCAACCCCATTTTGCTGTTGTGTGTCGCATTTTGCAATACTTAAAGAGTGCCCTCGGTCGGGGTTGACTATATCGCCCATCTTCCTCGTTATCTGTCACTGGCTTCAGTGATGCTAATTAGGCTAGTAATAGGACTGACCGCCGTTCCACCTCGGGCTATTGTACCTTCGTTGGTGGTAATCTTGTTACTTGGTGTAACAAGAAATAGCTTCTTGTTGCTCATTCTGGTGCCAAAGCTGAGTACCGTGCCATGGCTCATATTGCTTCTGAGATGCTCTGGATTCAGTCTCTTCTTCGCGATTTTGGTTTTTCTGTTCCCACTCCTATGAGTATGTCTTGTGATAATCAGGCTGCTATCTTCATAGCCAATAATCCCGTGTTCCATGAACGAACCAAACATATCAAATTTGATTGTCATTTTATACATGATCTCTTACTACGCAAGCAACTTGTGACTCCTTATGTTCATTCTGAAGATCAATTGAGTGATATTCTCACTAAACCTTTGACTCAATCTTCATTTCATCGTTTATCCATCAAGTTGGGCAGGTTTGACCTCTATGCTCTAGCTTGAGAGTGAGTGTTAGAATAGTTGTTTTATTTCTTTATTGCCCTTCTGTTAATATTTACTTAAGTTGAGGGTATGATTGTCATTTCACTATATTAGGATTTGTATATATATTTTGTTGATGTAGAGTTAATATTTGATTCTAGGTATATAAAATTACTCTCTTCTTCTTTCTTCTTCTTCCTCTTAAACCCTATAAACCCTAACCCTAAATTTCTTCATTATTCATTCTAACTAAAACTAAAAATTAAGTTTGTTAAAAAACATAGGGCGAATTACACTAACAGTTCATATAGTTTGGGGCTCATGTCACTTTGGTCTCTAACTTTTCAATTGTGACGTATTTGACTCTAAATTTTGTATCTTATTCCAAATAAGGACAATTGAAGATATCATTGCTTAATTTCAAAGGAAAACAAATATAAAAAAAAAAAAAAAATTGATAAAAATAAATGTCAAAAAAATATTTTTAAATTTTTAAAAATTATTTCTACCCACAAAAGATAAAATTATGTAAAATTAATAAATATTTTAGATATTTATTTATTTTTACCAAATTAATTTTTATTGTATGTTTGGCTGATGATCATATAATGGGTGGTTATTAAGATTTTAATGTGTAATCGATATACTTAATATATGAAATGTTTTTAGTTTTAGATTTTTTGATTTAATGAATTGGTTTAATAATGATATCAAAATTGTCGCCATATTTAACTTTTGAAAAAATAGAAACAATTTAATGAAAATAAAAACAGCTACCCATTACACGATCATCATCCAAACACATAATAAAAATTAATTTGGTAAAATAAATAAATAAATAAATGTCTAAAAGATTTATCAATTTTACATAATTTTATCTTTAGCGGGTAGAATTAATTTTTAAAAATTCAAAAATATTTTTTTGATATTTATTTTTGTCAAATTAGTTTATATTTTATCAAATTGATGATTTTACCCTTGAAATGGTATTTTCAATTGTCCTTATTTGGAACAAGATTCAAAGTTCAAAGTCAAATGTGTCACAATTGAAAAGTTAGGGACCAAAGTGACACAAGCTCCAAATTATAGGAACGGTTAGTGTAATTCGCCCAAAAAAATATTTGGGAAACACTAGTTTCTTAAATGATTTTTGTGTTATATTTTTAATTTTTTTGGGTTAGTCATGGAGGTGAATTTATTTATTTATGCACCAAGAGACAAGAATAGAAGAAGAAAACATAAAGGGTATAATTGTCTTTTTAAGGTTAATATTAAAGGAATTGAGGTTGCATTTTAGTCCAAAACACATGTAGGGCATATGGCTACTTTTAAAAGACGGGGATAAAGTGTTATCAAGCCATACCACATTGAGGTATATTACCCTAAAAATTACCCATAGATTTATAGATTCAATTGGGAGGAGTGAAGTACAGATGCCACTCAGAAAATAGGTCTGACTAACAAATTATGTTGGATCGATGAACAAATTCATAAATAACTTGCGACACAATTGGAGCCATTGGAATGTACAAAATCTGTACAGAATTCATGTGAAAGTTTATGTTTCAACTCTGATTTCAACAGGGACAGTCCAATTCTCACTTTAACAAGTGTACATCAAACAACTATTCTGACACAAAAGTTGGAGGAGCAATTTAAAAAGATAAAGGGTTGGGTCTGGTCAAGTTGCCAATTTTCTGTTTTCCGCTTTTCTGAACAAAAAAAAAAAAAAATTTCCTAAAAAAAAAAAAACAAGAAACATGCTTGGTACCCACATCTATCTCTCTCTCTCCCTCTCTCTCTCTCTCTCTCTCTCTCTATTGAGAGGGTTTAACATTAGATACCTGATTTTCAGTGGAAGAGGGGTTTATGGACAGGGATCAAAGAGAGAGGGAAGGGACTGAGGGAGGGAGTTTCTGTGGGTGGGAAGGGGAGTTGCAGGTCACAGGGGTGAGGGAGAAGAGGTCACAGAAGATGAGAGTTGAGGGGTGAGGGAGGGAGTCGCAGGTCAGGGAGTGAGGGAGAAGGGGTTATAGAGCGGGAGGGATGAGGGAGGGAGTTGCAGGTTATGTTACAAGTGCTCGGGTATGAGTATCGAGCGCAAGCGGTAGTGCATGTCCAAGCGTTAGATCATCCTAATCCTTAATTTTAGAATATTGGGAAATATATGCAAAAGTTGGATACGAGTATGAAAGACACGTCTCAAACACTTACATATAATGCATATTGTAGTATTCCTAGATAAATATTGTAAATTATTTAGAAATGTACGTCAAATTAAATAAGATTTAGAGTAAATATAGAAATTATATCTCTTTCATGTGAGAAGCTAGAAATGCCTCTTTACTAGCAAATGTGTAAATCTTCTTCTTCAAACATCATATAAAATTTGAGGATCCTAGTGTTAAAATTGAGTATGGGTGTCAAACACATACCTCACACCCTTAACCTTGTCATATCCAACGGGCACAAGTACACTTTTTGTTTTAAATGTGTGAAATACCAAAACACTTTATTGTTTTCTTCCAATCAGAACATAACATTAAAGGACACAACTGTAATCAACCATAGTTCTGTTGTGCCCCCCATGTTATAAGAGCATCTCCAACGGTGCATCTTTTTTTTTATCAAATTTGAGTAAAAATTTGAGTAAAAACTCCATTTGATATCAAGTGCTCCAACAAAGGATTTTGAGCTTTCATCAAAACACCGGTTGACCAGGTTGGGTCTGATCAAGTTGCCAATTTTCTATTTTCCATTTTTTTGAACAAAAAAACATGATGCATTTTTTTTTTTTTTTTTTTTGAACAAAAAAATAAAAACTAGAAACATGTTTGGTATGCACATCTCTCTCTCTCACGCTCTCTCTCTCTATTGAGAGGGTTTAACATTAGACAGCTGATTTTCAGTGGAAGAGGGGCTTATAGACAGGGATCAAAGAGGGAGGGAAGGGCTGAGGGAGGGAGTTACTGTGGGCAGGAAGGGGAGTTGCAGGTCACAGGGATGAGGGAGAAGAGGGAAGGGCTGAGGGAGGGAGTTTCTGTGGGTGGGAAGGGGAGTTGCAGGTCACAGGGGTGAGGGAGAAGAGGTCACGGAAGATGAGAGGTGAGGGGTGAGGGAGGGAGTCGCAGGTCAGGGAGTGAGGGAGAAGGGGTTATAGAGCAGGTGGGATGAGGGAGGGAGTTGCAGGTTATGTTACAAGTGCTCGGGTATGAGTATCGAGCACAAGTGGTAGTGCATGTCCAAGCGTTAGATCATCCTAAACCTTAATTTTAGAATATTGGGAAATATATGCAAAAGTTGGATATGAGTATGAAAGACACATCTCAAACACTTACATATAATGCATATTGTAGTATTCCTAGATAAATGTTGTAAATTATTTAGAAATGTACTTCAAATTAAGTGGGGTTTAGAGTAAATATAGAAATTATATCTCTTTCGTGTGAGAAGCTAGAAATGCTTCTTTACTAGCAAATGTGTAAATCTTCTTCTTCAAACATCACATAAAATTTGAGGATCCCAGTGTTAAAATTGAGTATAGGTGTCAAACACATACCTCACACCCTTAACCTTGTCATATCCGGCAGACCAAAACACTTTATTGTTTTCTTCCAATCAGAACATAACATCAAAGGACACAGTTGTAATCAACCATAGTTCTGTTGTGCCCCCCATGTTATAAGAGCATCTCCAACGGTGCATCTTTTTTTCACCAAATTTGAGTAAAAAATTGAGTAAAAACTCTATTTGATATCAAGTACTCTAACAGAGGATTTTGAGCTTTCATCAAAACACCGGTCGACCAGGAGAATCTCCTTCACAAATTTTTGCCTAGAGGTGGTCATCCGAGAGGACATCCGGTGGGAAAATCTAACAATTATGAACAATGATTTGATGAAAGCTCCTAGGCATCCTCAATTTGATGAAAGATTTTTGACATCCTCAATTTAATACTAATCTGATGAAACCATTGGAGCAGGAAAAATGTTGTTTTTTCATCAAATTTAAATTTGATGAAAGAATAGATGAACCGTTGGAGATTGTCTAACAATGATAACCCCAAAATAAATAATAACACACAAAAGCAATTGAAAGTCCTTATTCTTAGAAACTGAAGAACAAACCTTGGAAAGCAAATCCCGATCACGCAAGTTTGAAGCAGATAATGATATCTGCACAAATTAGTGGAGAAAAAGTTAAGTATGGCAGCTGAGGAAGCATATTAAACATAACAAATTGAATTAAGAACCTCAATACATCTTGTAATACATTGTAACACAAATTCTATACATATGAAGAACATCCAAAGTAGGTGTACAGATTTCCTGCCAAATGAAAAAATAAATAAAAAATAAATAAATCTACACCACAAATTCTGTTGAGATGATCAGGCCTTGTTCAGATCAATATGAGCTTGGGGCAAAGTTAAGTTTCGCCCAAGTGTATAATGTTTATTACACAACTTTTTTGTGATAAGTCACAAAGTAACAATGGCATATATAATGTAAATTGGTTTTGAAAAATTAGAGGTTCAATCAAGGGAGAGAATTACTCCAACTGTAAGACATTGGGCTTATGGTAAAGGCTTTAGTCCGTGATCAATGTGGCCAATGGTTCTACAATTTGGCCAAAGCTCGAACTGACCTCAGCTTGGCTAAACTTACAAATCTGGTGGTACAAGCCTGTGGAAAAAATTATCAATTGGCTCTTCATGCATTCCTTCATAGAGCATCCACTTCAGTGTTTTTGTATCCTGCCATTTGCCGACAACAACCACCTCACAAAATACAACTGCAAACCCATTTCTATATGCAAAATGCATGAATTTCTGTAAATTTATATTTAAGTTGAAATAAATCAATGATGACCTATCTGTGGAAAGCAACTTAAATATAATACATAGCAAAATCAAAAGCCAGTATAAAGAAATGAAATTTTTCATTATCTACAGATTGTTTAGCCAACACTTCCAAGTTGTTTCATGCAGAAGTTCACAATTAGTTTGTCCATCATTATTATTTCACCAATTTTATAACAGCTTAAGTGCACTTGTTTTCGACCAGACAATACTTCCTAAAGTATATGGAAATCTAGTTTTATCAGGCTAGTGATGCCACCAATTTGATTTGTTATCTTCATGGAACAGCAGCTTGAAAGTGAATGAGAAATGATAATGTAACATGGTGAACTAATAGTTCAACACAAAAGTACCAAATTAATGGAGGAAGAACACTTCTACCTGTAACTGAAGATAAAAGCAGACTATACCCAACCACAGAACTGGCTTATACAAGGTCTCACGAATGAAACAGGCTCACAAATACCATCAAAATCTACTAGAGGAATATAGATGAAGGACTTTACAAAGTCCAACAATAACTCTAAGAATGGGTTAACACTCCCCATGACCTAACTTACAAAATGCTCCATAATCTGTTCTTAACTTGTATAGGATCCTCACTCTATGGTAATGTCTTCGAGCCACACCCCCAAATAAAGCAACTAAACTCCAATCTTTTTCCCTCTTTTCCCCAATTCTACCTGATAACGAACATGAAAAGAAGTAAAATGGCAAATTTAAAATCTCATAAGTAGTCCATCTAGAGCTTTATGTATCAGAATTTGCAAAGTAAGAAGAATGCGAAGCTGGGGGCTGGGGGAGAGTTTGAATAAAAAAGAAAGAATCTCGACTTCTTGGAATGCTATTCACCACTACCTAAAGACAAGACGAGAGAAAAGAGAGAGAATGAAAGGCCACGGCACCACCTCTTAGCTTTGCTTTCTGCCTTATAAACTTCACTACCTGAACTATATGGAACATAGAGTACACCTAGAACTTTATGTAATCATGTTTAGGATTAGTTTGAGACATATTTTCATCTATTTCATATTTAGAATGTCTTTGAACAAATTTAATTGTTTTTAATTCAATTTTAATACTTGGGAGTATTTTAGTAATTTCATGGGTCTTCTTATGGATCAAATTATGTTATTGGTTCTTCTATAGTCTTTCATGGGTCTAGGATATTTAGTTGATCAAAATCTCTTAACTTCCTATTCATTTTTTTTTTTAAAAAAATCTCTTAATTTCCTAATTACGGAATCATAGTCTTAGTATAAAAAAAAAAAGGAAAAGTTTGTCAAATAAGCATGTATCTCTTTTTGAGGAGTTGAATTATGAAAATTTAAGATTGTGTTTGTATGAATTTGCATAACCCTTGTGAGGGTGAAGTACCTCTTTCCCACTCCTCCTCCTCCTCCTCTTCCTCTTTATCATTGTGAATAACCCAAATATTATTTCTAGACTATTGTTTGCAGGCTCAACCTTCACAAAGTGCACTTTTCAACCCAAAATCCTATCTAATAATGCCCACATCAATTTCATCCCCCTTTTCCCTACCGATTGGCATTAAACCCTAAATTAGTCATTATTTAGTCATTTAAATAGTCTATTTTGAAAATTCAAAAATTAATCACTTTAGGAAATCAAACCAAACCAAACCAAACCTCACACCTATTCATCTCCAAACCCCATAAACTTTCTTCTTCCTCTTAGAACACTATCTCTAAAAGCTTTCCATAACCAACAAAACCCACCACAATTCCTATTATAGGCAGCAATCAACCAAGTTTCCTAAAGTTGTATTACATCACTTGCACCCCTCCATCCACAAACAAGATCAGCCACACTGCAGGTATGCCCTTTGGTTGCAACTTAATGAAGCAACTTTGACTCTGTCACTCGAGAAAAATGAAACAAAATTTATTACTTGCCTTCTTATACAAGAGAATAATTCCTTAAATTTTCTAGGCTCTAGCACTCACATCCTATGCTAAAGCTTCTTCTTCAAAGATGTGGACTGAAAATTTCCTCTCTGCATAATCCCCCAATTAGAATACTCCATTTCATAGAGCAAAAACCTTGGTACACTCTACTACTCATACGTTAAATCACTATAGTTCATCGAACAAACAATTAAGTAGCTGCCTTGATGCAGGACAATTAAGGACAACAGCAAATCTAGGCTTTTGGGTCTGATTTTAATTGGATTTTATGGCTGCAATTGCAATAAGAATATAGGGGACAAGTAGGATTTGTTTAGGGTAACAAATAGATAAGAGTTTAAGCATGAAAAGATGGGATTTTAACACTGTTTAGGGGCTGTTATGAGGCTGTGAACAATAACTCATGAATAATAATCTAAAACAGAAAAGAAGAAAGGAAAGACGAAGATAGGACTAGGCATTACACCTAGATTCCATAGGCATCACACCTTGGGTTTGATTGCATCACACAACCTATAAAAAAGCTTCAAAGTTCTCAATTTTTTATAAAATATCAACTCTCACAATTATAAGCATTACAAGGCTTTATATGGAATTAGGAGACTTTATAAACCAATTAGAACCAAAAAAAGAAAACTACTAAAATATCTTTAATTTCTAAAACTAATTTAAGACCAAATAAGAAACAAAAATAAAGACTAATTAAATAATTTGACCCACAAGACTACTCATGGGCGACCCATATAGCCCATGTCAGTAAATATAAAATCACCAGAATACTCCGAACCTTAAAAATCCTAGAAAACATAAAAATAATAATAAAATAAAACTTTAATAATATTAGAAACATAATTATAGAAGATTTCTATCAGTTTCTTTATGAAATCATGCCAATGTCCAAGTATCATCACTTCTTTGAATTTAGCCTTCCTTGAGCTTCTTATTGCATCATTCTCCCTTGGTTGGAAAAAACTCGACCTCGAGTTTTGAAGTGTTGGAGTATAAGAATCCACAAGTTTTGAAATTGCATCCATGACTTTACATTAAAATCTTCAAGTTGGCAGCGTCGTTTCTGTTAGAATATAATATGTAAAATGTTGCTTTAATAATTAGGTTAGTATAATAATTAGTATGCTTTAATAATGTACCTTTAATAATGTTGTTTGGTTTGTGCTTCTACTTTCGGTTTGTAATTGTTCTCCCCCTCCTCTATAAAGGAGAGAGCTCAACACACCATAAGATATATCAATCAATAATACATAAATTTTAACAGTTTCTTTTCATTGGAGGTAGCAATGAAAGCAACAAGGTATTTTCAGTTCTAAAGCTGAATTTATTTGAAATGACAAAATCAATTGAAGTAGAAGATGAACCCTTGAATTGATCAAAGTGTTGAGTTGCCCCATCATCCATTCCATTCCTTTTTTGGCTTTGTAATGTAGTGCTCACAATCAATTTGAATGCTCATAGTTGCATCAACAGACATGGATTCCATATTCTCAATCTTTTTCTCAACAAAAATGTTGTTTTGCAATTCAATTTTGCAATCCTCTTGTAACTTCGGCATATGCTTTAAAGGCATGTTTTGCTCAACACTAGCAGTCAGTCGGTTGCTTCGATTCTTCAATTCTGACAACTTCCACAACATCCAATTCCTCACTTTGGACTCTAGTAATAACTAGATCTTCTTGGGGTAAGAGCTTCGTTATCCTTCAAAATCTAGTCATCTTTCACCTTTTGCAGGGTTTGATTGTTCTCCTTCACTTGTAGCTTCAATTGCATAAGCTTTTGATCTTTAACTCTAGCTTTCAGCTTTGGTATGACTTCTTGTGTGTACTCCATCCTATATCTTGACTGATGTGGCAATTCTTGCCTAATAATAGGGCTTAATGCAAGTTTAAATCTAGCGAGTCTGACATAATTCTTCCAAAACTCGATTTCGAGTGTCAAGTGCCTCAAGTCTTTGCATATATTCTTCAAAGAAAATGTTGTCATGTCTTGAATTAACAAGTTGGTCACATGAATCAAAAATGATTATTTGAAGGTATATACTTCTCTTGAAGCTTAGCTTTCATCTCTTGCCATCTGTTATTGGTGGCAATTCCAATCTTCTTATGTCTTCTTCAACACGATACCACCAAAGTTATGCCAAACCTACAAGTTTCATCTTGGCAAATCTTGCTTTTTGATCATCCGTACAATCATAGCAATCAAAATATTCCTCAATTGAAACAAACCAATTAGAGAACACCATAGGATCATCTCTTTCTTCAAAATCTGGAACTTCTTCGTTACGGGGTATAACATATTGTGGCACATAGGATCTCCCACTTTATAAGAACATAGTGGTGAAACTTTAAGCTCTGATACCAAACTGGTGAAGGACAACTAGGGACAGCAGCAAATATAGGCTTTTGGGTGTGATTTTAATTGGATTTTATGGCTGCAATTGCAATAAGATATAGGGACAACTGTGAAGCATGGACACTCCAAAATCGGTGCCATGGCAGTGTCCAACACGCGGACACGCCGAGGACACAGGGACACATACGGGACACGCTAGATGGTGTGTCCCTTTAATTTAATGATTTTTTTTAGGGGACACAGCGTGGACACGCATGTTCATATCAGGACATAGCGGGGCTCATTTATAATTTTGTTATATTTATTTGGGGTCAAAGTGTAATATTTAAAAAGTTTTTTTAAAAAAAAAAAAACAATGATGTATAAGAAGAACACCATCCAATTGTCTATCAGTCGATCCAGTCAGTAGTGAACATCGTTGATCCAGTCGATCTGGTCGATCGAAGACCCCCATCCATTGAACCAGTCGTTTATCGCCCACTTGAACATTGTTGATCCACCTCCATCTAGTCGATCGAAGACTTCGAAGGTAAGCCCCTCTCTCTCTTTCTCTCTCTCTCTCTCTGTTGCCCTTTCTCTCTCGCTCTCTCTCTGTTTCTCTTTCTCTCTCTCTCTCACGCTCGATCATCTCTGTTCTCTCTCTCTCTGTTTGCATATAATTTACTTTATATAAGATGATTGATCATATATAATATAATTTATCATATATTATATATATATATAATAAAATTTCTAAATTATAATTTTTATCGTGTATGATAAAATATCTAATTGTCATTTCTTAAAATATCATATATAATAATATTTTTTGTAAATTATTATTTCTTAACTTTTTAACATAAAATAAATCATCCAATTATTTAAAAGAAATCTAATTAAATATAATAAAAATATTATAAAATAAAATATCTAATTTTTCTTTTTATTTATTTTAACATATTTTATTATTCCTTATTTGTTAAATTTTTTTATTTATAATATATATATCAATTAAAAATTAAAAAAATAAATTAACAATAACACATTATTTAAAAAATATAATAAATAAATAAAATAATTAATGTGTATTAAAATAAAAATATTTATTAAAAAATTAAAAAATTTGCCGTGCCCCCTGCTGTAGCCATGTCCATGTCCCCATTTTTTAGAAATTGCCGTGTCCCGTGTCCGTGTCCGTATTTGTGTCTGTGTCCGTGTTTCATAGGGGGGCAAGTAGGATTTGTTTAGGATAATAAATAGGTAAGAGTTTAAGCATGAAAAGATGAGATTTTAACACTGTTTAGGGGCTGTTATGAGGCTATGAACAGTAACTCGTGAATAATAAACTAAAGCAGAAAAGAAGAAAAAACAAGAGAAGAAGATAGGACCAGACATCACACCTAGAGTTTGATTACATCACACAACCTATAAAAAAGTTTTAAAACTCTCAACTATTTATAAAATATCAACTCTCTCAATTATAAGCATTACAAGGCTTTATATGGGATTATGAGACTTCATAAACCAATTAGAACTAAAAAAAGTAAAGAAGGAAACTACTAAAATATCTTTAGTTTCTAAAACTAATTTAAGACCAAATAAGAAACAAAAATAAAGACTAATTAAATAACTTGACCTACAAGACGATCCATGGGCAACCCATACATCCCATGCTAGTAAATATAAAATTACCAAAATACTTCTAACCTTAAAAATCCTAGAAAACATAAAAATAATAATAAAATAAGACTCTAATAATATTAGAAACATAATTATATAAGATTTCTATTAGTTTCTCTATGAAATCATACTAATGTCTAAGTATCATCACTTCTCTGAATTTAGCCATTCTTGAATTTCTTATACTCTGCATCATGCCTCCTTAGCATTTTTAAAGTAATTTTTATTGCATATTCCATTTGGTATAATTTAAGCTAAAAGCGGATAATCAGAAAACATAAGCTAAAAGCATCTCTTCCACAACTTTTAAATAATTAATTTTTTTCAACCTATTTATAATCAATTTTTTTCTAACTTATTTAAACTATTTTCCCCTAATAAGCCGTAATCAGAAGATACACCAAACAGTAGCTACACGATTAAAAAACTATGTTTGGGTAAAAGGTCACGACAAGTTTTTTTTCAATCTTTTATAAAAAGTCAAAACCACACTAAAAAAATTAATTCCCAAACGAACCCTTAAATAAAATAAGCTATATCAAACACGAAAGTAAATTTTGTTTTCAATAGCAATAATAATAAATAAAAACCTAATGCGTCACAACATCGCTTCCAAATCTTTAAGATCATATCCTTTGACGATACAATGATCGAAATTCAACTACTAGTGCTTACAAAGGAGTTTTTAGCTTCAATTCCAACAGTTTTATTCAATCATATTGAAATGCAAACAAGAAATCTGGAAGGAACTCCAAACATAAGTACATATAAATTTGTAAAATTTCTGTGTGTAAAAAAGAAGATGAACAACAGTTGAATGAATGAATGAAGTACCTCGATCCGCGAAAAGAGGCCGCGGTAGCCACGAGCGGTGAAGAAGTAATCGACGGCGTCGTTGGGGCCGCCGTCAGCTGGATTACTTTGATAAGATGCGGCGCCGGCGCCACCAACCGCCGCCTGTCCTGCGGCGACGTCGGAGAAGCAACAGCCCATTGCCGCCGCCCAAGCACTTGGTAGTAGCTGGTAGAGATTTTTTGGAGTCAATGAAAGTATGTGAAACGTGAAAAGAAGACTTTGACCTGATATGTGAAAAGAAAAATGCTTGGGAGCACTAATTAGTGCTCCCACTAATTAGGTAGCAGTGGGTCCCGTCATTAATGATGTGATGTTTTGGTCTTGGAGTTGTATTTTTTTTTTTTTTACTTAAATCTACATGAGATTCAACTATATCTATAATATGACAAGTATTTTTATAAATATAAAATTTCAATTTTATTTTTAAATTTTAATATATAAATTATGCTTGTTTAGTATTTAAAAATTAAATTTGACCTGGTGATTTTAAGTCGCCAAATAATTTCAATAATATTAGACACATCAATTACTTTATTTATAAATCACTATTTGCCTTGTATATAGTAATTTATAAATCACTATTTGTCATGTATACAATAATTCATGTGTTTGTCAATTTAAAAAATTACTTCCATGAATTATTTATATTAATTTATTTGATCCTAATTTTACACCAAATATCACTTATGTCAATACATTACTTACGATATTGATTCATTTTTGCCTCTTATTACGATATTGATTCATTTTTGCTTCGCACTAAGATGACAAATATTCACATATTAGATCATCTATAACGATTTATTAAATAATCTATTAAATTTAAATTTAATAAAAAATTCCCTTTTTGTTGCTCTAATCTAATACAAAATTTTTTATCAAATTAAAAATAAATGTGTTTTTCATCAAATTACTATTCATAATGTGTTTGTTAATTTAAAAAATTACTTCCATGAATTATTTATATTAATTTATTTGATCCTAATTTTACACCAAATATCACTTATGTCAATACATTAATTACGATATTGATTCATTTTTTACTCTTATTACGATATTGATTCATTTTTGCTTCGCACTAAGATGACAAATATTCACATATTAGATCATCTATAACGATTTATTAAATAATCTATTAAATTTAAATTTAATGAAAAACTCCCTTTTTGTTGCTCTAATCTAATACAAAATTTTTTATCAAATTAAAAATAAATGTGTTTTTCATCAAATTACTATTCATAACTACTGAATTTTTACCACCAAATGTCTTTTAGATATCCACCCCAAGGTAAAAATTCGTGAAAAAATTATACTAATCGGATGACCGACCGAACATCTGCCTTGTTGTCCACCTAGTCAATCGGAGTTCTGATAAAACTTTAAAAACCTCTGTTGAAACACTTGATATCAAATGGAGTTTTTATTCAAATTTTATAAATAAAAATAAAAAATAAAAAAAGATAAACCAATGGAAATGTCTTTATGTAACAAAATATAACCTAATTATTTTAATAAAAATATTCAATAAAACTCAAAATACAATAAATTATAACAAATTACTATCACTAAATATAACAAAATTAATCAAATTATGTGCACAAATATTTTGTGTGATATTTTGTTACAAATAAAATAAATCAATATTAATATTTTAAGAGTAACTATTGAAATTGATAATTTAAGATAGTAAAAAATTTGGGGATGGGGAGAGAGAGAGGGAGAGAGTGATTGGTAAACACAATGGCCCACTTATCTGCTGTGTATTTCAGTACACGTCAGAGAAAAAAAAAATACTCCTCTGGGAAGCATCGTTCAGCTTATCCGAAAACGACACATTGACATAAGAGGGTGTTTCTGTCAATATTTTAATGGAATGGACTGCTAAATTACCATGGAGTCCCTGGGGGCATTATGATTGTGATGGTGTGTGGTGGCCAGAGATCATTGGTGATTGCAGGATACAATGATGGTCCCTAGTAAACTACCCACCATGTTTTTCATGATGAACAATTATGCAATAGTACTGAAATATCAAGCTATCATATTTCTTCATTAATTATTATTAATTATGTTTATTATATTTGTCAATTATTTAATATAAATAATTAAAAGAAAAATTGCATGCAAGCAACAGAAGATAAAAAAAATTACTAACACATGGGATAATTTTTCATTTACATCCCATCACAGACACACATGCACCTTCATGTATTTGTAATTTTTTTTGGGTAAATTACCTAGAAGTCCTATTTAAAAGATAAAGGGCTTGTTTAGTTTGTATTTGAGAAACATGTTTTGAGATAAAAAGTACGAAAATTTATTTGGTTTGATTTTTTTTCAAAAGATTTTTGAAAAATTATTTTAAGAGAGAGTTTTAGAAAAAATGATTGATTTGATGTGTATGAGAGAGATTTGTTTGGAAAACTTGTAAACCAAACAAGTTTTAGAAAAAAAAATTTGGAAAAGTTTGTTTGGTTTGATTTCTTTTGAAAACTTATTTGTAGAGAATTTTTCCCAAAATTTTTTGAGAAACAAAAACCAAACAAGTTTATTTAGTCTTACAACCTTTTGAATACTCTAAAAAGTTCACTGCCTCTTTTTCTTCTTTATTCTTCTTGTGCATTCGTTCTTCTCTTCCTCTTTCTCTTCCTAATTTTCGATGACCGGCGACCATTCCTTCATTTTTCTCTTTCTCTTTCTAATATATAGTCACCGCGACCACCATTGCTTAAGGTTTATCGGCAACCACTGATCATTGACTCCTAACTTCACCCTCATTAACGGCGAAAGAAACGAGTTTCCGGCGAAGAAGATGAGTAGATCTACTCATATCTAAGTAAATCTACATGAGATTCAACTATATCTGAATCAAAAATAGTTGCTGAAATACAATATTCTTTCTATATCTGTTTTTTTTCTTCGATTTCTCAATTTTTCTACCTTTTCTCTACTACATACTTTTATTTTCCTGCTTTAATGGAGACAATTTTCAAGTTTTGAACAAGTTATTTTTAAATTTTAGTTATAGGCGATGAAAATTGTAAAATTTTACAGTTTCAAATTTTTTGGTGCTGAAATAAATCATGTTTTAAAAATGTAAAATTTTACAGTTTCATAACATTCTTTAGAACTATAAAATTTTGCAGTTTCATAACATGTTTTTCAGATTGATTAATAAGTATAAATGCTTAATAGAATCATACTTTCAAACTGTAACATTTTACAATTTTAAAACTTACTTTCCAATTTGATCAATATTGGAGATTATTTGTTTAAACCCTAAAAAAATTAAAAAATAATATATTCTTTTTCCCATTGTTGTTTGTTGTTGTTATTATTATTTTTTTTTTTGTATATCAATATTTAACACATTTTGCTATGTTTTTTCACTATAATTTCTCCATTTATTCTTTTTTTTAAAAATTTTGACAATATTCTGGATATTCCGATAAATCTCTGATGATGTTCTTGACGTTCAACGAATTGGACATTCCGGCAACTTCCAGTGATATTCATAACACTCTGGCGATACTCCGGTGAACTTCCAGCGATACTCCGACGAACTTCCTGGTGATGTTGAATATTCCGGCGAGTCTCCGATGACGGTCTGACGGAAATTCAGCAGTAGTGGAATGTAGCAGCGTTTTTAAAGTTTAAAAAAAAAAAGGATTTTTTTGGTAATAATTAAAAATATGTAGGACTAATTAGTGCAAGTGTTTTGTTTTGGAACTAGATGGATTTTAAACTTTGTATGAGACTTACTGGCAAGTGGCCCTTTTTTTTTCTTTTCTTTTTTTTATCTCTCACGTACATATAATTCCCTTAATAATCAATACTCTACCTTCTTTATCAATCATACTGCCATGAACTACCATGTAACCGTACTCCCGAATTACCGAATAATCACTCATTAGTTTCAAACGCATCTCTTACAGTATCTTTTATTCCAAGAGAATTCTACCATACACACCTCATATCATATGTACCCTTAGTTATGACATTTTCTTCTTTATTTATAATCAATTTTATTCATTAGTTATGATATTATTTTGACATATTTGGTTATGCCTCATGTAGTGTTTGGTTATGACTTTTTTTTTTTTTTTTTTTTGAAGTTATGACTCAGAAAATATGAATATATATCATTTTTTTCTTTAATTATAAGGTGCATATGGTATACACTCTTTGAAGAGTGTATACCATAGTCTTTCCCTTCTGAAGGAAATTAGCTATTAGTACTGTCAGAAAATTATTACGAAATCATAAATAATATCATAATTTTAATTATTAATATATATAATTTCTTATTTATTTGTAATTTTTTTTAAAAAAAATATGCTCTTTTCCTTATTCCAAATTGACTATTGTCAATGTTGGAAATTGGGTTAGGTTTCGAACCCGAACCCAATTGGGTCGTCCATGGTGGCATGACCTGATTAAAAGAGATCCAAATAATCTTAATAGATTATATTTCAAGATATGAGATAATCTTGATATGGATAATTGTCAATATATTAGATGATACTTATTAATTAGATATTGTTGATATGAGATAGACATTATCTAGGATAATACATCTATCTTATGGATCTCCTAACTCTCATATATAAACAGAACTTGGGTTTTGTATTTGAAATAACAAAAATTATACGTTCTCTCTTCCCATAAACCATTCCGCATTTGTATTGTGAATAGCTTAGGTAGTTCTCTAGTAGTTCTACTCTACTGTTGAGCATTATTCGAATGGAGGCACGCGATTCACCCACATGATCCATGGATTCGGTTTGAGCATAAAAAGTATGCCCAAATTCGTTTATTTCCCCTGTGTATATAGTATACTAATTTCTACATTGGTATCAGAGCTATTTTTGGGTGTTTTTGTGTTATTTGTGCATAAATATATGTATAGATATGATTTATGCATAAAATTGATGTTTTTCAAACCATCTCTGATCATCCTGCATTTCATATATGTTGTAGTCTATATTATTTAGACCACATCTGCAAAGTTTTACAAAAATTGGACGGTCGGATTTTGAGAAAAATTGAGATTTATATCCGATTTTAGTACCTCTAACTACATGTTGGTTTTACATGCTTCATTTTCATGTTG